AGTATTTTTCTACTTTTTTGTATAGTTCTAGTTATTGTTGATTCATGAACTGTAACCCCCATTTTTGTTCAATCCATACAACATATTCTTTTCTGGTCAATTTATTATTTGCAGCAAATAAGCAAAATTCATATTTTTGGGTAACAGATAAAGTTATTTTACTTGAAGACATTTATTATTTTTTTTTGGGAGTTATAAAAGAATATGAATTACAGTGAACAATGATTCAATAATGTTGATAATAATGAATTAGAAGATTGATATATAATAACTGGGCAATTTTATTTTTTAAAGTAAAATTCTTAATTTTATCTGTTATGATCCCTCCTTTACCTTTATATATAATAATCCCAACTATAAAAAATGCAAGAGCTTTGTCTCCTGGATTCTTACTCTATTATTCTAATAATTCTCTATATCTATTAAAAAGAAAGAATTAATCATTTGTTGTAATAAAAGAAAGAATTCTTTTTTTACTTGTTACTTGAATTATTATTATCTTACAATGTTTTAATAAAATGTCATTATTAGTGTACATGTAACATGGAATTACTAATACTAAATTTTTTATAATGCAGTGTGGTCACATGAAAATCACGGGGGTGCACTTAGAGAGGGTGGTTTTATATAAATGGGACCAGGAAAAGACCGTGCAGTGCAGAACATAGAGGGAGTGCACTTATCTCTAAGTCCCAAGCTTGGAACTGGGACACAGGGTGCATTTATGGAGGAGGTGCACTTATGGAGGGTGCACTTATGGAGGGTTGACTGTATATGTGTGAATATAAAAAAATTATTGATTGCTAAATTATATTTTTTGAGGACATATCACCAATCCACTTCAAAAAGTTCCTGAACTCTCCTCTTGATATATGATTTCTTTAAACTCATGGCTCGGGAGCTTTTCTTTAGTCCTAAATCATGGTACAATTTTCTAGTATTAATTCTTCTGAATATATACTTCAACAGGATTGTAAGTTCCACATTCGACCAACGTCTTGAACCTGAATGGATTCCTTCATCAGATTCCAAGACACTTAAATCTTCATCATCAACTTCCTTTTCACTACCTGATTGCTCTGTCTCCACTTCATCATATTTTATTATTAAATATTTTCCATTCGGTGCTAGGACTTGTTTTGGACTAATCCAACCCTCCTCTTCTACTCCACTTCCTTCTTCTTCCTCATTTTCATCTGACTCACTTTCACCTGACTCACTTTCATCCTCTTGATCCTCTTCATTTAAAGATGTATTATTACTATTATTGGACATCTGCAAAGAATTGGTAGTTGTTGTTGTTGATGATTGATTATAATGATCTTGATAGTTTCTTTTTATGCCATGAGGCATTAAATTATTCAGGTAATTAGAAGAGGAAGAAGATGCAAAATTTCTTTGATAGTACTGTAGACTGTGTTGTTAATGGATAGATTGGAGTTAAATTTGCATTTGTAGTCGATGTAGTGGTGGTAGAAGGAATAGTAGCATTCTTTGGTAATATTGTAGGTACATATGAACGTGTTTCTTGTATAGAGTTACTAATAGTATTGCCGGTAGTAGGAGCAGGGGCAGCATTAGTAGAAGCAGTAGCTGCAGCAGCAGTAGATGCAAAATTTCTTTGATAGTACTGAGTAGTAGACTGTGTTGTTAATGGATAGATTGGAGTTAAATTTGCATTTGTAGTCGATGTAGTGGTGGTAGAAGGAATAGTAGCATTCTTTGGTAATATTGTAGGTACATATGAACGTGTTTCTTGTATAGAGTTACTAATAGTATTGCTGGTAGTAGGAGTAGGGGCAGCATTAGTAGAAGCAGCAGCAGCAGCAACAGTAACAGCAGCAGTGGTAGAAGCAGTAGCAGTAGCAGTGTTGTTGTTGTTGTTGTCATTGTATGTTGCTGAATAATCAGTTTCTTCTGTTGTAGCACAATTTTTAGAATACTTTCCTGATTCTCCCTTGAGTTTTTTTTTAAAAACAAATTAGATTATAATGTAATATTACCAATAAAAAAATTGATAATAATGAAGATACCTCATAAATCTTTTTTAACAAATGGAAGACATCCACTGGTTTCAGTGGTATCATTCCTTTTCGTAGAGAAGTTTTTATTTCGCCAAACAATGCCTCTATATCTATATACTTAGAATAATCTTCATTCCAATTATAATAAATTCAAATTTAGCTAATGCAAAAAAGATTACAAAGACATGCAATAACATGAATATTTATTTACTAGAATCATAATCATTATCCTCTTCATTCTCTTCTCTCTTTCGTTTATTATCTCTAATATAATATTTTTAGGGATAATTAGAATTAGAACTAGAATTACAACCATTCTTTTTAAATAAACTAGAGTGACGACGAGTGGCGGCGGGCAATAGCCACCACCACCATCCTTAAAACACTTACTCTCTAATAGCACCGGTGTCATCTTGTCTGCTTCTTGTATTATTTCTTCTGGTATCTTTCGGCATTTTTAAAATCTTTAAGAAAAAAAGTCTGTGATATGATCGACGCGTACGTGTTAATTATTTATCCTATTGGTTTTTTTTTGGTAGGACAGACGCGAATTGATTTTTTTTTTTTTCTTGGAAAAACAATAAAAACAATTTATTTTTTGACAGAGTCCAAGGTGACAAAACGTGAATTGTTGTTTGGTTTGGTTTGTTTGGGCCTCCTAAAGAAAACGTGTTAATAACTAACCAGAAACACTTTTTTTCATTTGTACTGATTGATATTTTTATTTTAGTTTATAAATATTTTAATTGGAAATCAAAATGCGGAGCAGATCTTGCTGGGTAATTACAAGATTTTCATTGATAATATTTTACTTTCGTAATCAATAATAATATTAATAATATTATTATAAATATTATAATTACAAGATGTCAAGGCAGCATGACTGACTGTTACAGAAGAAACAATTCAATATGAAACATTTCAAGTATGAAACAATTCAATGTGGTGTTTGATTACAGGAAAATGGCAGGCGTTGAAGCATGCACACTACCTCGAACACTTTACAGTCATTCTCACATCTTCCTCGTGTGCACAAGGCTAATCTGACCTGCTCCGCCCTATGGATATGATGATGCCTTCGATACCAGGGGGGAGGCGCATGGCCCTGGAAGTTTACCGAGACTGCACCAATCATCAATGACGCTTTTCACTAATCTTCCCAGACCAGAGATGGCCGCTGGCACGCTGGCCGAAAAGTCGCCTGCAACGATCCTACCTCCAGGTAAGGATGGCACTGTGACCAAGTCACAACTCTGCTGATGAATATTAAGAGAATCTGCAACTTGTTTCAAGCACAGGGAGAAATTTGCATTCATAGTGAAGTTGTGGCCCTGATATTGTTCTGGAATCAAGAGGAAAGTTGTAAAATAGTGCTTGTTTTGTACAATCTTTTTCATAAATGCTCTGTTTTTTTGATACTAACCAATTTATAATTTTGGTTAAAGGACTGAACGGGGTTTTTGCCCAATCAGTCCCCTCCCCTATAAATTAAATTTATATGGTAATATCTTTGTCAGCTAAGTGCAAACACTCATCCCTGGCATCAAAGTGGAATTCTTTACACTTTTTTCAAAAAGGATCAAGAAAACAAGTTGGATTTTGGTATGTTTTGTACAGATTAATCATTTTTCAAAATTTCTTTTTCTTGGTAAATTTTTAATTTGGTTAACCAGATTTATTGTTTTTTAAACAGGGTAAGTTACTGGACTTTCACCCAAATCATTCCTTGTCCTAGGTAGGTGTGCCCTGACAAAACAGAAACTCAGGTTGCAACCTTCCACCTAAGTTGTAGACACCAACTCTAGTGGAACAGCAAACATCATAAAGATGCCAACTCTTGTCAACAATCAATGCTGTATGGTAGCAGCCAAATCTGGTCTGAGGAGAAGACAAGAAAAGTTTTGTTCACCTTGTAAAAAAGCTTTTCAACATGTTCAGGACGCTTTCACTTGTGGAATAAAGTTTCATGATGCTGAAAAGTGCTTGATTGCACTGTACTGCATGTTTATGATAGGAAAGTTTTACTAAATCTGACACCTGTGATCAATATCATCAGATTTATTATTCATAAGGAACCATAATTGATAATCAGGAAGAATAATTTATTATTGTGAATCCCAGAGATCTGGGTAGACATGCATTATTAAAAGTTTCATTTTTGCATGGCCTTGGTATTATTACTACCTGGGTGATGCAATTGTTTGTTATGTCAATTATAACATCAAATGTATTGAATAATAATCATGACTATCATGAATATTTGATGGATGAAGGCATTCACATACAAGGAAATGAAGGAAATGATTAAATAGCTAAGTCATGTTTGTTTTATTAATGATGTATGATTAATTATATTTAAAATATACAATAAAAAAATTGCAAGACTGCATCACTGTGTCAATCAAACTATCAAGCTGTTATGTTTGTGCATGATTTAAAATTCTTTTGTGCTACCATCTTTCTTTGCTCATATATTCTATTTGTTCTCATTTTAATGGTCAAATGATGCCAAATTGGGTAACGGGGTATTAGCAAATACAGTCGGCCCCCATATAGTCACCTCCTGTATAGTCACTCCTCCCTTATAGTCACTGAAGGTTTGAGCCCGGATTATTTTATATACAAATGCCTCCCATATAGTCACTCCTCCCTTATAGTCACTATCACACCTAGTCATATAACACGACATTAGTAAAGATAAGAAAAAATCCCTCCATACAATCACTAAATTTTATAAAATTTAAAAATTTGCAAAAAAAGAATAATGATGTTATTTTATATCATTGTATTTCATATAACCGAAACTATCATTCTAAAAACACCTGCCATAATTGGTTATTGCAGCAATGGTAACTACCATAATAAAATAATTAAGGCTGCCACAAATAATTAATTGCAAATTTTATTTTTCACGAACGACCAACAAATTAAATTCATAAATTACATTTAGTTACTGCAAATCTACAAATTCGTTTTATTCATCCTATTCACTATTTATTTGTTTTATTTGTAATCTTTTATTCTTTACTATTAATGGTTAGTTAATTTAATGATGAATAATTGAATTAAAAAAATCTATTATTATATTTAAAATTTAATTATTGTAAATTGAATTGGTTCCAAGTTATTCTTATTGGTGTTTACAATTACAAATTCAGTTTAGTGGTTTCATGTTGTAATTTAATACTTATAAAAAGAACTGATAATAATTCAATAGTTAAATAAAAATGCAGAAGTCAGAAATAACTGCTAAAAGAACTCGCACTGCTATCAGTGTTAAATTAAAAAAAGAAATTTGTGAATATATGATGGCTCACCAAAATGTTAAACATGCTGATGTTGCCTCTTTCTTTAATAATAAATACAAAGAACTAAATATTGATATTGATAGAACAAGTATTTCCAAAATATTTAAAGATAAAGATAAATGGTTGAATTTAGTTTCTGATATGATTGGAGTGGACAAATTTCGTCAGCATTCAACAAGATTTCCTGAATTTGTTAAAGCAATGCAAATATGGACCGCACAAATGGTTTCTGCTGGAATGCCTTTAAGTGATTTAATTTTACAAAGAAAGGGGGAGGAATTCGCAAGAGGATTAAATATTGAAAACCAAATAAAATGTGCAAATGGTTGGATATAATAAATTCAAAAAAAGAAATGGTTTACATAAAATTAAATATTCTGGTGAGGCTAATAGTGCACCACTCCAAACTCTTCCTGAAGAACGTTCAAAATTGCAATTTATTTTAAGTCAATATAATGAAGAAGATATCTATAATGCTGATGAAACAGGAATTTTCTTTAGGATGCAACCCAACCAAACATTAAGTACTGGCCCAATTTCAGGATATAAAAAAGTAAATTCATTGATTCATTATTTCTAAAATTTGGTTTGCAAATATTAAAGTTTTTTTTTTTAAATTAAGGATAAAAGTCGTCTTTCAGTTTTACTTTGTGCTAATGCAAGTGGTAGTCACAAATTTGTTCCTTTAGTGATTGGAAAATCTCAAAACCCACGTTGCTTTACAAATATTAATAAATCTACACTACCTGTTACTTACCATGCAAATTCAAAAGCTTGGATGAGATCTGACATTTTCATTGAGTGGCTCAATTATCATGATAGATTTTTTTGTGCAATGGACAGAAAGGTTGTTCTTCTAATTGATAATGCTGGGTCACATTTTAATCCAAAGCAACTTGAACAATCTAATGAAAACTCTACCATTGTCAATGATCACAATGAAGAAATTATAATTATCAATGAAGAATCAAGTTCATGTTCTGATAATGAAGAACCAATTGCAGAATCATCTCAGTCGTCTCAAAGAAGAAAAACCAACATTGGTCAAACACAAAAAAAAAGGGAAGAAAAACACCAAATATTAATCTTACAAATATTAGACTTATTTATATTCCTCCTAACACCACTGCACACTTACAGCCAATGGATGCTGGTATCATCCATAGTTTTAAAGCTAAATACAAACATGAATATTGTAAATATTTAATTCACCATTTTGATAATGGAACATATAATCAAAGGTATGTAATGATATAATTAATAATCAATTATCAGATTTTTTTAAATCATGTAAATCAAGTATACTAATCACTTATATTTAGAGATAAGCTGAATGTAAAAGAAGCTATTTATTTTATTGCTGAGGCTTGGAATAATGTCACTGAAACAACCATTCAAAATTGTTGGATTAAGACAGGAATTCTCCCAAACAATAATGATATCATTATGGTCGATGCAAGTATTCAAGATTCAGAGCTTGATGATAATGATAATGACATTATTATATTACCAGATGCTGATGATGTAAATGAATATTTTGATAGTTTTGATCAAAATGTACCAACTAAAGAATACCTTAATGATGAAGAAATTATAAGTCTTGTCCAATTTGAAAAAATGGACGAAAATGGTAATGATTCATCATCAGATGAAGAAATACCTTTGATACCAGTAAAAAATGCAATTAATGGTTTAGAAACATTTATTAATTTTTTTGAGCAACATCAAAAGATATTAGGTAAAAAATTTTTTAAAAAATTTATTTTTTCTATATGGCTTTATGATCAATTGATTGTGATATTCTTGACACTTTCAATATTAGCCGGGTAAAAAAACAATTTTTAGAAATATATTTGAAAAGAAATACACAGGATATTCAAGATCTTGTAAATCAACATAAAGAAAATCATATCACCAAATTTATTGAAACTGAAGCAACTTACAATGAAATTTTTGCAGTGAAAGAACATGCCAAAAAATTGCAAAATTCAATTGAGATTGCTATTCATAATCAATTTAAACATGATCCCTCTATGACTAATCGAATCATGTATGTGCCTATTTTTTTTCTTTGGTATTAATGACAAAAAAAGGTTCATTATATATTTACAAATTCATATATTTGTCTTTTCAGATCTTTAATAAAATCAAAAGTAGAATTGGAGGCAGAGAAACATACTTTAGATGTTCTTGATAAATGTGTAAATGATCTTAGACTTCGATGTCAAAATGTATTATGCATAGATGATGGATTGAAAATGATTTGTGAACATGTCAATAATTCAAATGAAATTATTGTAAGTGTAAAGATTTAATTATTAGTATTTAATATAATAATTTTATGATTTTATTTTATACTATTTACTAATTTTTTTTTTAAAAACTCAAAGGAATTGAAAAAAAGTCAAATAGAACAATTAAATTTAATTAACAATCAGACTATAACCACTTTTTTCAATCAATTAAGGGAAGTATCAGAATATATCAAAAGAGTTCTTTGTCCTTTTTCTCACGATTTTGAATGGATTTACAAAAGAATTGATTGCATGATGATGAAAGAAAATGAAAGATTTCAAAAATTAGATTTGAAGATTACTGTTCAACTCTACTATGAAAAGTATATTCATCTCACTTTTTTTTCATATAATCTTCTAGACATATGTTATGTATTTAAAAATTCAAGTATTAAATTAGGGAAGGTTTTTTTTAGTGAAATTCATCATATTGGCTCTCTTGAAATTCATCGAACGCTTGATGATCCTTTTTTAAAAGATGTTAAAGATATTATTCGTAGTCCAAAGTATCTTGGCGCTGAATGCATTTATATGATGTTACGAGAACTAAAATCCGAATGTACAATGTACAAAAATTTACAATTCATAATGAATAAAAACTTTCTACCGCACTATTATGAACTGAATATGATTGGTAATTATTTGATGGGATTTTTTTATTTTTTTATTACAAACATATTTATTTAATATATTATTATTTATTTAAACTTAGCAAAAAATTGGTTGTCTTCTGTACGAAACCTTATGATAAATTGCAATAAAAACGACTCTTATACAAAAACAATTGAAAGTATGCAAGTGGCTATTGAATATTTAAAAGGTATCTATATGTGTGCATAATTGATTATATATTTATTTATTATTTATAAATGTAAATATATTTTTTTAATTATTGCTATAGATTTATTAAAGAAACAGAAAAAGGATTATAAAAATTATATAGAAAATCAGATTCCACGACACAAAGCAAAAATTGATGATTTAACAAAAACCACATTTCATGCTATCCATGAAATTTTGGAAGAACGGTATGTGTAATGTTATTTTTAATTATACGTACGTGTGTGTGTGTATATGGTTTTTTTCTTCTAACCAAATATTTTTTATTTAAACCAATTTTCAGTAATGATTTTTTATGTAATTTTGCAATGATTTGTTGATGTTTGTGTTGGGAAAAAAAAATCAAAAAGGGATTTCGATGTTACACGAATTTAATCGCGTTGTATATACAGTGTGTTACAAAAAAAATTGGAAATTTTTAAATTAACATTGTGAAACAACTACTGTATTAGTTTGTGTGAAAAATGGCTCATTTGATAGCTTAAAATCATAATTTTTATTGATAATATTTTAATAAGAAATCCTTTCGCCATTATTTTCAATGACCAGTTCACATCTTGATTTCATTGAATGAATTAAACTAATTAGAAGTGAATTAGGAATTGCATCCCACTCCTCAGCCATAAACTGCACCAATTCCGCCAGATTTTTTGGCATTCTCTTCTCCACATTCCTCTTAACAATAGCCCACAAATTTTCTATTGGGTTTAAATCAGGACTGTTGGATGGCCAATCCATAACTTCAGGAAAGTTTTCTTGAAGAAATGTTTTGGCTCAGCGGCTTGTATGTTTGGGATCATTATCCTGTTGAAACTGCCAATCATCCCCTAACATTCTTTGGATCTCTGGGCGATGATTCTCCAATATTTCAACATAAAATTCTGCATTCATAATTTGTTGGAAGCAAAAAAGACTGGTCTTTCCATGGATGCAAAAGCCACCTCAAGCAAAAATTTTGGTGCGATCTTTTGGCATTGGGCGAATGGGGTCTTACATTCTTATACCATCCTTCAATTGTGTTTCAGTAAAGCTGGAAAGCTGTCTCATCCAAAAATAGTGGTTTCCCCCAATTATCATTAAGATGATTTTGTGCCCACTCCACATGACATTCTTTATGCCTTATTGTTAGCATTGGGGTTGAATTGTGTGCACTACGTATAGTATTATGTTCGAAACTTAGTTTACGTTTTGATTTAGGTAATCTTGTTGGTTCACTATTCATTCAAAAAAGTTAAATGTTAATGGTTTTAAGTTATAAAATAAAAATTTGAACATTAAAATCAAATATGTTTTAGGCATTTACACAATTCTTGATTTCTGAAGTTGCCTTATGTGACTTTAATGAAGTACATGTTTTTATTTAGTAAATGTTTATAATGATTTAAACAGAGATAATATGAAATTTTTGTATATTTACTCTTTTGATTTGATGTGTTTTAATGAAAACATTAATATTGGCAAAATTTCACCTTTACATAGCCTATATATAAGGCAAAAATATGTGCATACAAGATAAGTCAAAATATAAAAATTAATGCATTGAAGATTAATTTTTTAACCTTTGTATATCTTCCTTTTTCAATGGTTGTTCCATATTATCGTCAATTAAAGAAGTGGAACGTCCCGGTCGATACCCAAGTTCATCTTTTAACCAAATTAGAATATCATCGCTACATGAGAAATCACTAGTTTGTGATTTGAGCTTTGCGTTTGTTAATCTAATTTTTTTTGGCATATTTTAAAAGAAAAAATAACAAAACACGTAAACATTGAAAATCCTATATTTTTTGCCGATCTTATTTTACAACTATATAGTAATTCGTATCTTGTGGCTTTTATCTTTTGACGAGGCACAAGGAACAATTTCAATTGTTTTTGAGACATTTTTCAATAAAACAGAGGTTCTTGTATGGTATTGGATAACCTTTATACCCCAACTTATTATACGCCTAATACACAAAGAGGCAAAACATACTCGTGGCATCCTTATGAAAATTGCTAAACAATATCCTCAAGTGAGTTATATATTCTTCAATTTTAGAAAATAAATAAATGTTTAATTATTAGTGAATGTAAGAATTTTTTTTAGACATTATATTTTCAATTAAGAAAAGCAAGAGAAGAATATTTTTTGGTGAAAAAACAAGTGGCATTGCTCAAACACAAGCTTGTGCAGCACAATTATCATCAACTATTGCTAATAATCCAGGAGCATCATCAACACAATTAACAATCCTGAGTTTCTTCAACATCACAAATTGATTCTAATATTGCAAACATTGGAAATGTACAACAACCAATCCCACAAAAATGTTGGACAGAGTAGCTCTAATCAAGGAAGACAGTCCATCTGCTCAAATTAATATTCTTGGAGTTAATACCAATCAATCGGATCAAATGTCTTCTCAACCTCAAAGTCTTGCCATACAAGAGTTAATGTTCTAAGTATGTCAACGCCTCCAACTTTTTCCAACAATATCACAATACAAAATATGCAAAACATTAATTCGTAATCCGTGAAACAACTGCAAAAATTTGCCGATCATTAATATGTTTTTGTGGCGATCAGTGTTGAAAATTCAGTGGGAGGGTGTAACGTTATACCATAATTATGTGTGCATGAAAATAATTAAAATTTGTCACACATGCAATTAAAAATTGTCATTATAAAT